GGGTGGATGTTAGCTCGGGGCTAATCTTCCTCAAAACAAAACAAAACAAAACAAAACCAGTTTTGCACACAATTTTGGGAAATTGTGAATCCATTGATCCTTTAAGGGCTTGTGGATTGACAGGTTAAAAACGCTTAGCCAGCAGTTCTCTTAAGTATTATTAATCTAAGGTCTGTCTCTTTAATTTGCCACAGTCTGTGTATTTTCCCCTCAGGTGTCTTTGTGGTTTCTCTCTTGGCCCCCAGAGAGATTTGTTTTCTTTTTCTTTGGGTAATTTCATTATGGCAGTAGCAGACCTGCATCTAAAAAGGATGGGGTAAGGTGAGTGGTTAAAACTGAAGACTTTGGTCATTTTAATCATTTATATTAGGCATATGGCACCATTTGTGCAAAGTTTTGTGTTATGTTTTTTTCCATTTCTGTTATAGTTTGATGGTTAGAGAATACCCTACTACTGCTACTTACCATTAAAATTAATTTGTTTTAATTTAGGAAGTGGAAACATGTCATCCTATTTGTCTAATGATAACTTGATAGATTAGATACATTTATATTTGTATTTAATGTGATTTTTTTCTTGCACATTGGCAGTTCATGTCTAGTTATTTAATGAAATGTTAATATTTTCTCATCAGTTTGCACGTACTTTATGTAATAGATGGCTAACCCTTTTTCATGTATGTTATAAATATTTCTGTTACTTTAAATAGTGAATTTAAAAATTTGTCGTTTAATTTTTTGCTATTTTCTGTATGATTTCTATTTCTTCAAGACTTAAATAATTTAAAAATATGCATTAAGAATTATGCTTCTGTTCTTATGATATAGAATGATTTTGTGAATTTCTGGATCGGAAGCATTTGGGTGTATTCTTTGTTACTGTCCTTCCTCAATGCTAGGATTGTACAGACTCTTGATAATAAGATGTAACAACTCCCTTAGGAGTAATTGACTGATTAAAGGATTTGAGAAGTTTGTAACACAGTTAAGGTTGCTGTGTTTAAATTAGTGAGTCTCTGCTCTGGTTATAAAATAAAATCATCTGGGGAGTTTTTTTTTTAAATTTAGGTAAAATTCATGTAAAATCCAACCTTTTAACCATTTCAGAGTGTATAATTTAGTGGCTTTTAGTACATTCAAAATACTGTGCAATATCACCACTTTGTAATTCCAGAACATTTTTCTCACCCTAAAAAGAAACCTGTAGCCATTAAGGAGTCCACATTTCCCTCTCTTCCAGTCTTTAGCAGTCTTAATCTGTTTTCTGTCTCTCTAGATTTGCTTATTCTGGATTTATAAATGGAATCATACGATATGTCGCCTTTTGTGTCTGGCTGCTTTCACTTAACATAGTGTTTTCAAAGTTCATCCATGTTATAGCATATAATAGTACTTCATTGCTTTTTAAGATGGAGTAATATTCCGTTGTATGGATATACCACATTTTGTGTATCCATTCATCATTTGTGTTGTTTCCCCTTTTTGTCTGTTGTGATTAGTGCTGTCATGAGCATTCAAGTACAAGTTTTCATTTGAAGACTTTTAATTTTCTTGGGTGTTTACCTGCGAGTAGAATTGCTGGATATATGTTTAACTTTTTTTTTAAAGATTTTATTTTTCCGTTTTCCCCCAAAGCCCTCCAGTACATAGTTGTGTATTTTTAGTTGTGGGTCCTTCTAGTTGTGGCATGTGGGACGCCGCCTCACCGTGGCTTAATGAGCGGTGCCGTGTTTGCGCCCAGGATTCGAACTACTGAAACCCTGGCCTGCCAGAGCAGAGCACGCGAACTTAACCACTCGTCCACGGGGCCGGCTCCTATATTTAACTTTGGGAGGAATTGCCTAACTTCCATACCAGCTACAGAATTTTATGTTCTCACCTGCAGTATATGGAGGTTTTGATTTCTGCACATCCTCGCCAACATTTGTTTTATGTGGGTTTTTTTGTTACTATGTTTTTTTGAAAAAAGCAGCTTTATTGAGATATATTCACATATCATAGAACCTACCCATTTAAAGTATACAATTTTAGAACATTTTCATAACCTCAAAAACATATCTCCCTATCCCTTAAACAGTCAGTCTACAATCCTCCCGAACTCCCAATCCTAGACAACCACTAATCTATTTTCTGTCTTTATAGATTTGCTGTTTTGGACATTTTGTATAAATGAAACCATGTATTATGTGGGCTTTTGTGACTACCTTCTTTCACTTAACGTGTCTTCAAAGTAATTCATGTTGTAGCACGTATCAGTACTTCATTCCTTTTTCTTCCCCCACAGCGGCTACACCATTTTACATTGCCATCAGCAGTGTACTAGGGTTCCAGTTTCTCCATATCCTTGTCAATACTTGTTATTTTCTGTTGTTTTTTATAGCCATCATAATGGGCTTTGCATTTCCCTAATGACTAATGATGTTGAGCATCTTTTCATGTGCTTACTGGCTATTTGTATATATTCTTTGGAGAAATGTCTGTTTAAATTCTTTCCATGTTTTTTAATTGGCTTATTTGCCTTTTTTACTGAGTTACAAGAGTTCTTTATATATTCTGGATACAATTCCTTTATTACATAGATGATTTGCAAATATTTTTTCCACTTTTTTTCACTTTCTTGATTTTATGGTTTAGAGCACAAAGGTGTTTAATTTAGATGAAGACCAATTTATCTGTTCTTTCTTTTGTTGCTTATACTTTTTTTCTTTTGAGGAAGATTAGCCCTGAGCTAACGTCTGCTGCCAGTCCTCCTCTTTTTGCTGAGGAAGACTGGCCCTGAGCTAACATCCGTGCCCATCTTCCTCTACTTTATATGTGGGACGCCTACCACAGCATGGCTTGCCAAGCGGTGCCATATCTGCACCCGGGATCCGAACTGGCGAATCCCAGGCCACCGAAGCAGAACATGCGAAGTTAACTGCTGCGCCACCAGGCTGGCCCCATGTTGCTTATACTTTGAATGTCGTATGTAGATTTATGCCTATGTTTTTGCTTAAGAATTTTATAAATTTTGCTCTTATGTTTATCTTTTTGATCCATTTCATGAAACTTTTATGTATATGTGAGAGAGAGGTCCAATTTCATTCTTTTGCATGTGGATATCTAGTTGTCCCAGTACCATTTGTTGAAAAGGCTATACTTTCCCCATTGAATTATCTTGGCATCCTTGTTAAGAATCAGTTGGCTGGGGCCGGCCCCGTGGCAAGTGGTTAAGTTCGCGCCCTCAGCTTCAGCTGCCCAGGATTTCGCTGGTTCGGATCCTGGATGCGGACTTGACACCACTCATCAAGCCATGCTGAGGTGGCGTCCCACGTGCCACAACTAGAAGGACCCACAACTAAAAATATACAGCTATGTACTGGGAGTGCTTTGGGGAGAAAAAGGAAAAAATAAAAAATCTTTAAGAATCAATTGGTAGTAAATGTGTGGGTGTTCTCTGGACTCTCAGTTCTATTCCATCATGTCTGTCCTTGTGCCAGTGCCACACTGTCTTACTAACTGCAGCTTTTGTAGTAAGTTTTGAAATTGAGATATGTGAGTCCTGCAACTTTGTTCCTTTTTTTCAAGATTGTTTTGGCTATTCTTGGACTCTTGTATTTCCATGTGAATTTTAGGATTAGCTTGTCTATTTCCACGAAAAAGCCAGTAGAGATTTTATTAAGGATTATGTTGTATCTGTAGAGCAGTTTGGGAAATATTGCTGTCTTAACAGTATAAAGTCGTCCAATTCATGAACATGGGATGTCTTTGCATTTACTTAGATCTTCTTTAATTCCTTTCAACAATATTTTTAAGTTTTCTGTTCAAGTCTTACACTTTCTTTGTTAAATAAGAATTTTATTTATTTAATTAATTTTTTGAGGAAGATTGGCCCTGGGCTAGCATCTGTGCCCATCTTCCTCTACTTTATATGTGGGACGCCTGCCACAGCATAGCTTGGTAAGTGGTATGTAGGTCCATGCATGGGATCCAAACCAGTGAACCCTGGGCCACCAAAGCAGATCATGTGAACTTAACTGCTACGCTGCTGGCCCGGCCCCCAATTTTTTCTTTTGGTGCTATTAGAAGTGGAATTTTCAAAATTTCATTTTTGGATTTTTTATTGCTAGTGGATAGCAGTGCAATTGATTTTTCCCTGCAATCTTGCTTACTTTATTCATTAGTTATAGTAGTTTTTTTAGCGTATTTCTTAGTTTTTTTTCCTTTTAATATACGAGATTATGTCATTCACAAATAGTGATAGTTTTACTTCTTCCTTTCCTATTTGGATATCTATTATTTCTTCTTGCATAATTGACCTGCCTAGAGCCTCCAGTATAATGTTCAATAGAAAAGACGAAAAAAGAAATTCTTGTTTTTTTTTTTCTTTCTGAGGAAGACTTCCTCTGAGCTAACATCTGTTGCCAGTCTTGCTGTTTTTGCTTGACGAAGATTCGCCCTGAGCTAACATCTCTGCCAGTCTTCCTCTATTTTGTATTTGGGTTGCCATCACAGCATGCCTGCTAATGAGTGGTATAGGTCCGTGCGCCCAGGAACCTGACCTGGTCTGCCAAAGTGGAGTTTGCCAAACTTAACTACTAGGCCATGGGGTTAGCCCCAACATTCTTGTGGTGTTCGTATCTTAAGGAGAAAGCATTCGGTCTTTTCCCTTTAAGTAGGATATTAGCTGTGGATTTTTTGGACATGTCCTTTGTCAGGTTGAGGCATTGGTATTTAAAAAAAAAGCCTTTTAGATAAATTATGTTTATGTAGTCAAGAGAACCAGTTATCTAAGTTAATGTTTAAGGAACAAGGATAAATACTATTTTTATTGCAATTTCTCTGAAGATATTTATGTGTTTTCCTCTGTAGAAATAATACAAATTTTAATGAGTAGTGAAAAGTTCAGAAATCTAGTTTTCCTTCTATTAGGTGGATATCTTTTTCTTTTACATGACCAAATTACAGATAGCGTCTAGAAAACTTGTTCTTTGAGTAAATTATTTGTCCTTTTATTTCAGACAAAAAGATGCCACGGAGAAAGAAAAAAGTTAAAGAAGCCTCTGAAGCTCAGAACCTGGAGAAGAAAGATGCAGAAACTACCAGTTCTGTCACTGTGAAGAGGAAGCGTAGACTTGAGGATGCATTCATTGTGATATCTGATAGTGATGGAGAGGTCAGTATTCTGAAGAGTGAAGCTCTAGGTCTCAAACGAGGCCTCCTTATCCATGACTGGTTTGTTTTGCAACTGTACCTCAGTGCCAGCTTCCAGACCATTCAGTTTTTATTCAGCTTCATTTTGATTTGTAAATGGAATTAAGAATTACTTAAAAGGAAGTAATTATACTGTTTGGCTGAGGATGGATCATAGTTCCTCAGTTTTGTAATATATTAACCCAAGGTGGTATTTTAAAACTATTTGAGGCGTCAGCCCTGTGGCCGAGTGGTTAAGTTTGCATGCTCCGCTTCGGTGGCCCAGGGTTTCGCCGGTTCGAATCCTGGGCTTGGACATGGCACTGCTCATCAGGTCATGTTGAGGCGACGTCCTACATGCCACAACTAGAAGGACCCACAACTGCAAGTATACAACTATCTACTGGGGGAATTTGGGGAGAAAAAGCAAAAAGAAGATTGGCAAGTTGTTAGCTCAGGTGACAAAAAAACACTATTTGAATAATCTAAATCAGACGTAAATCTTAATTTTCGTGTGTCTAGAAAGTAAGAGAAAGAGAATGTAAATGCCCTTTAAGTCTCTAGATATAGTCTGTCCAATGTGATAGCAAATATTCACCTGTAGCTATTTAAATTTAAATTAATTATAAGTAAAAATTAGTTCCTCTGTTGGACTAGTCACATTTCAAGTGATCATAGCCACGTCAGTCTAGTGTCTGCTGTATTTGCCAGCACTGTTATAGAACATTTCCTTCGTTGTAAAAAGTTTTATTAGACAGCACTGCTCTAGATATTAAGGTCTCTCTTTTGTTCCCTATTTCCATTTGTTTATTGGAGATTTCCATCTGCCTGTAGGTCACATTGAATAAGGCAATGAACTAAGTCATTGTTTTTTCCTCCAAGTTTGCTTCTTTCTTCTTTATTTTCTATCTCATTTGATGGTAGAACCAGTCATTTGCCTCAAGTTATAAAGCTCCAAATTATCTTTAACTCTTTTCTCTTTCTCATCTGTTTTACCTAATCATTCACCACATCCTTTAGTTTTTACCTCTTTTTACCTCAGGTCTATTCTCCCTCTTGTATTTCTTTTTCTGATGATCTGTTCTTTGAGTTCTTGTTAACAGACTTTGAACTTGCTTCTCTCCCTTCAGTTTTATCTCTCTACGTTTCACTTAGCTTACTGCAATTTTCTTTTAACAGTTCAGATTTTCGATCTTTGCACTTGCTTGCTTAAAAATCTTTGACTCCATGATCTGTACAAGATCAGTTTAGAATTTCAGTATGGTATACTCTATCAGAGCCTTCACAATCTAGTCTAGTATAGGATCTTATCAGCACTTCATTAGTTTCCTTGTCCCCCTGCCACGACTACTACCACATTTAAAAAAAATTTTTCCCAATTTGATAGTCAAAAAGTTGTTTATTTGTAATAATCAGCAAGATTAAACATTTTTTCATATCTCTGTTGGGTATTTATTTTTTGAATTTCCTCATAGTCTAATTTTTAATTAGGATTTTGTCTAAATAATTCATTTTTAAGGTGTAAAAGTGTATAAAGAAGGAAACAAAACAATCCATCAGTTCTACCACTTGGATAGCCTGTCTTAATAATAACAAAAATAAAATAGTTATATACACACACAGATATGTTAAAAAGTTATATACATATGTGATAAAAAATGAAAACAAAATAGAAACAGATCAAAACTGTCTGAAAACAAAACAATATAGAGAGGTATAAAATGAAGATGAACACCTCAGTGAAAGTACGTTTAATGAAAGGTAATAATTTCTTCTGTATTCTTCCAGAAAAAAAAACTCTTTATGCATATGCCATCAATAAAGACTTTTAGAGACTGGCCTGGTGGGTAGTGGTTAAGTTCATGGGCTCCACATCCATCGGTGCCCAGGGTTTGCAGGTTTGGATCCCAGGCGTGGACCTAGCACCGCTTGTCAAGCCACTCTGGTGACATCCCATATAAAATAGAGGAAGATTGGCACAGATGTTAGCTCAGGGCCAATCTTCCTCACAAAAAATAAAATTAAAAAAAAAAAAAAGACTTTTACAGGAAAGGAATCATGCTACACATACTGTTTTGCTTTTTCACTTAATATTTCTTGGAGAGCCTTCTATAACAGCACACAGATCTATCTCCTTAAATTTTTTTAGATTGTCAAATATGTCATACATGTAGGAGAGCACATAAACTGTCAATACATAGTCTTAACAAATAGTCTGAGCACCTGTATTCACCACCTTCGAAGCCCTCTTGACTTAGTATGATCCTCTACAGCTGCATCCCATCCCACTTATCTAATCAACAAATATTGTGTGTGTTCTGACTTCTCTCTCAACTGGTGGTTCCCCCATCTTTCTCCTTCTCCTTGGGGCTCCCTGTTCCCTGAGACAGATCAATATTGAAATTAGGCCAATTAATAACCCTACAATGGCCTCTAGGTGTTCAAGTGTAAAGAAGAGTCACACATTTCTCACTTGAAATCAAAAGCTAGAAATGGTTAAGTTTAGTGAGGGAGGCATGTTGAAATCTGAGATAGGCCAAAAGCCAGGCCTTTTAGACCAAACAGTTAGCCAAGTTGTGAATGCAAAGGAAAAGTTCTTGAAGGAAATTAAAAGTGTTACTCCAGGTGGCTGGCCTGGTGGTGTAGAGGGTAAATTCATGCGCTCCACTTCAGTCGCCCAGGGTTTGCAGGTTTGGATCCCGGGCATGGACCTACATACAGCTCATCAAGCCATGCTGTGGCGGTGTACCACATAGAAAATAGAGGAGGATTGGCACAAATGTTAGCTCAGAGACAATCTTCCTCAAGCAAAAGGAGGGAGATTGGCAACAGATGTTAACTCAGGGCCAGTCTTCCCCACCAAAAAAAAATGATGCTACTCCAGTGAACACACAAATCATAAGAAAGTGAAGCAGCCTTATTGCCAGTATCAAACTTGTAGTGGTCTGGATAGAAGATCAAACCAACCACAACATTCCCTTAAGCGACAGCCTAATTCAGAGCAAGGCTCTAAGTCTCTTCAATGCTGTGAAGGCTGAGAGAGGTGAGGAAGTTGCAGAAGAAAAGTTTGAAGCCAGCAGAAGTTGGTTAATGAGGGTGAAGGAAAGAAACCATCTCCATAACGTAAAAGTGCATGGTGAAGCAGCAAGTTATCCAGAAGATCTAGCTAAGATCATTAATGATGGTGGCTATGCTAAACAACATATTTTCAGTGTAGATGAAACAGCCTTCTATTGGCAGAAGATACCAGCTAGGACTTTTCATCGCTTGAGAGGAGAAGTCAATGCCTGGCTTCAAAGCTTCAAATTGCAGGCCTTTTTTTTTTAAAGATTGGCACCTGAGCTAACATTTGTTGCCAATCTTCTTTTTTTTTCTTCTCCCTCAAACCCCCCAGTACATAGTTGTGTATTCTAGTTGTAGGTCCTTCTGGCTCTGCTGTGTAGGATGCTGCCTCAGCATGGCTTGATGAGCAGTGCTAGGTCCGTGCCCAGGATCCGAACTGGCGAAACTCTGGGTTGCTGAAGTGGAGCACGCAAACTTAACCACTTAACCCCGGACAGGCTTTCTAGTTAGGGGCTAATGCACCTGACGATTTTAAGTTGAAGCTAGTGCTCATTTACCCTTCCAGACCCTAGGACCCTTAAGAATTGTGCTAAATCTGTTCTTCCTTTGCTCTATAAATGGAACAACAAAGCCTGGATGCCAGCACATCTGTTTACAACATGATTTACTGAATATTTTAAGTCCACTGTTGAGACCTACTGCTCAGAAAAAAAGATTAAAATTTTACTGCTCATTGACTATGCACCTGGTCACCCAGGAGCTCTGATGGAGATGTATAACAAGATTAATGTTTTCGTGTCTGCTAGTACAACATCCATTCTGCAGACCATGGATCAAGGAGTAATTTTGACTTTCAGATGTTATTATTTAAGAAATACGTTTCATCAGGGTGTGGCTGCCATAGATAGTGATTCCTCTGATGGGTCTGGACAAAGTAAATTAAAAACCTTCTGGAAAGAATTCACCATTCTAGATGCCATTAAGAACATTCATGGGAAGAGGTCAAAATAGAACGTTAACAGGAGTTTGGAAGAAGCTGACTCCAACCCTCATGGACGACTTGGAGGAGTTCAAGACTTCAGTGTAGGAAGTAGTTTTTGATGTGGTGGAAATAGCAAGAGAGCTAGAATTAGAAGTGCACTTGAGCCTGAAGGTGGGACTGAATTGCTGCAATCTCATGATAAAACTTTAATGGATGAGGAATTGCTGCTTATGGATAAGCAAAAAAAGTAGTTTCTTGAGATGGAATCTGCTCCTGGTGAAGATGCTGTGAAGATTGTTGAAATGACAACAAAGCATTTAGAATGTGACATAAACTTAGTTGATAAAGCAGTGGGAGGGTTTGAGAGGATTGACTCTAATTTTGAAAGAAGTTCTACTGTGGGTAAAGTACCATCAAACATCATCACACACTACAGAAAAATTGTTTGTGAAAGGAAGGGTCAGTCAGTTGATGTGGCAGACTTCACTTTTGTCATATTTTAAGAAATTGCCACAGCCACCCCAACCCTGACTATCCTGATAGTCAGCAGCCATCAGCATCGCAGCAAGAGTCTCCACCAACAAAAAGGTTACAACTCGCTGAAGGCTCAGATGATGGTTAGCATGTTTTAGCAATAAAGTGTTTTTTCATTAAGGGAGGTACATTGTTTTTTAGATATAATGTTAGTACACACTTAATAGACTATGGTATAGTGTAAACATAACCTTTATATGCACTGGGAAACCAAAAAATTTGTGTAGCTCGCTTTATTGTGATATTTGCTTTATTGAGGTGGCCTGGAACTGAACCCGCAATATTTCCAAGATATTCCTGTAGTCCAATATTTATTTTTTCTTTTGTTGGTTGTGCTTTTGGCATCGTATTCAAGACTTCATTGCCAAATCCAGCGTCATGAAGTTTTCCTCCTATGTTTTCTT